CCAACTTTCCAGGAACTTCAAGATAGCCAACGCAAGGATCCTTTCACAGGATATTGGATTCCTTTGGTCGAGTCAGGATGTAAGCCCAAGCGTGAAGACTTACCACCATCATCCAGTCATTTAGCTATGCTGAAGAACTTTGACAAGTTAAAGATGAGAGATGGCGTATTGTATAGAGAAGTCACTACCGATGAAGGACTTAGGAGCCAGGCTGTACTACCCCCATCTTTGATACAGACTGTTTTGACTATGGCCCACGACGATCTAGGACATCAGGGCCGGGACCGAACCCTGTCATTATTGAGAGATAGATTCTTTTGGATCGGGATGACACGGGATGTTGACGAATGGCTACAGGCTTGTGGCCGGTGTGTTCGTAGGAAAACCCCAGCCAAGATCTGTGCACCTTTAGTCAACATACCATCGTTTCAGCCTTTGGAATTAGTCTGCATGGACTTCCTTTCACTTGAGCCTTCCAAAGGTAGAATTGAGAACATCCTTGTCATCACCGACCACTTTACGAAGTACGCTGTAGCCATACCAACGAGGAACCAGACTGCAAGGACAACTGCAGAAGCTTTCTTCAACCACTTTGTGGTACACTATGGTCTTCCTCGAAGGATCCACACAGATCAAGGACCAAATTTCGAGAGTCGGTTGCTGAAAGAGCTTTGCGCCGTTACTGGAATCGACAAGTCGCACACCACACCTTACCATCCCATGGGTAATGGTCTCTGCGAACGTTTTAACAGGACACTCCTTGGTATGCTGGGAACCTTGTCGCAGGAACAGAAACAGAACTGGAAGGCACATGTCTCTACACTAGTTCATGCGTACAACTGTACAAGACAGGTATCAACCGGACAGACACCATACTTTCTAATGTTTGGGCGAAATCCAAGGTTACCTATAGATCTAGCCTTTGGACTTGATACAGGACCTCCTGTGGAGTCACTGACGTCATATGTAGAGGACCTGAGGACCCGTCTTACTAGCGCATATGAGCTAGCGTCCAACAGTTTGGACAAGGCGAAGGCCAAACAGAAAGAAAATTACGACAAAAGGGTACGGGAAGCAGTGTTAAATATAGGTGATCGAATCTTAGTGAAGATAGTCTCCTTTGATGGAAAGCATAAGCTCTCCAACAAATGGGAAAGTGACCCATACATCGTCATTGATCAGCCTAACACTGGAGTGCCCGCTTACGTTGTAAGAAAGGAAAGTGGCGAAGGACGTATCCGAACTCTACATCGGAATTTACTACTTCCCATAGGATATATTGCTGAGAAGAGGGAAACACGACCGATCCCAGTACCTCGCCGTTCGAAAGCAGCGGTTCGGAAAGAAGCTGTCCTGGACAAAGTCTCTTTGTCATCAGCTTCTTCATCGTCGGAGGAGGAAGTGCTATTGGTGGAAACCGATGTTCTAACAAACGTCGTGCCCGGACCCAACAATAGTACAGGAACCGACGGGAACACCAATTTGGAAGTGTCAGGGGATGAAGAGGACGCTTTTCTTGTAGAGGACACTATTCCAAAAGACATTCAGTTGACAGATTCAAGTCAGGAATCACCAGTTGTACCTCGAAGGTCGCAACGAGAACGGAAGAAACCTGCATGGATGCGTGGCAACCAATATATAATGAGTCAACAGACCAGTGAACCTGATTGGAAGTCACGTGCAAAATTCCTTTCAGTGTTGGTCGAGGATGGATTGCTGAGTGGGCAAGATGACAGAGTGGTCTCAGCGCTTCTTCATATTGTCTCTGGTAGAACTTGAGAGTTGTTGACCATTTACAGTATAGATCGAGATTTCTTGATATTTTATGTATGTTTCAGATAAGTATAGGTAATCATTGTACATCCCTAGTCGAGGACGACATTTTTCGAAGCAGGGGAGGATGTAATAGGGTGATTACTATCTTGTTTTATATAACTTTGTATGTATACATGTCTATTTGTTTGTGCCCAAATTGTTTAGAGTGTGTAAAAGAGATATGTGTGTGTTATAGGTTACAGGGAGTGATTATTTGATTACTTACCTGTAGTTCTATTTTTATATATATCACCTTACCTGTATTGTTCTATTTTTATATATCACATGGCGTACATGTGATATCTGCCCATTTTTCTATTGGTCAAACTAGTATAATACACTTTGGTCAGTTTGGCGGGAATCTCTTGGTAAGGAAGATCAGTACTCTCTTGCCTGCCAAACTGAAAACACCTATCTTTTGATCAAGACATTTTACGACCAAAGGGACTGTAAGACAGACAGGGAATTTGTAGAAGTTAACTTGTAAGCGAAAAGGACGAAAGCATGGAGTACCAGTGATGAGTTATGTATGAGGTTGAAACGGCTCTGTGCCATACACAGAGTGTAGGTGTTTTAAACCTATGTTGAATAAAGAATTCACGACAAATAACGACTTGGTGGTCAATTTGAATACCCGGTTACATGATTTTCTCTTAACAATACTTATTTTTATACATATGAGAATTTCATTTCAAGTAAAATTCACGTTAAGTTGATGTCAAATATCCTCTTAATGTAGAATTCTTTCAATGCTAGACAAACACAATGATAACATCACGAAGTCATTATTATATTTCACCTAGAATATACTTTGGTCATACGTCAATGCGAAAAACTGGTTGAAACATTCAAAGATGAAGATTTTTCTTTTGTTTAAATGATGTTTGATGATACATTTTGTAAAAAAAAGAAAGATTTGGACGTTATGTCGTTCATTGTGTGCATAATTTGTCTCAATGGCTGGAAAATCAAACATAGATCGACTATAAAAACTCCTCCAAGTCGTTCATAGTAAAATGAATAAATACTAAGATTTTAATTTCGAAATGATGACAACATTTCTGGCTGAGTCTTCTCAGTTGTTGTAATGATATCTATGTTTTGTTGAATAATGAATGAGCTTTAATCTATATATATATAATATGTATTCGTGTGACAGATAATACCTTCATTAATTTTCTACTGTTGTTCATTTCTTTTCACCTTTTGTCTGCACCTGCCGTGATCTGTCTGGATCTAATAACAGATGGTAAGTGTTTGTTTTGTTTTCTTTGTCAATAAGTGCTTTCGCTACCTACACAATACTTGTTTTGTTTCATATGAGAATATCATTTAAAGTACAATTCCCATTAAAGTGAGGTCATAATTCATCTAAATACACAAGTAATTGCGTGCTACACAAACACAATTTTAACATCACGATATACATTACAATTTCACATAGAAAACCATAAGGACTTATGTAAATTAAGGTTAACAAGTTGAAATATTCTAAGATCAATTTAATTCCCCACTTAAAAATATTATTCGATGGTCCGTTAATTGAAAATAGGATAGATTTGAAATTTCTGACATGCAAGTGTTATATGATTTTCTAAATGGCTGGAATACCCTAAGACAGATCGACATTAACAAAGCTTTTCGGATGTTCAAGTTAAAGTGAATAAAGAGTAAGATGAAATGATCGAAATTATGAAAACAATTCTGGCATAAGTTTCTTAGTTGATGTAATAATTACTTTATTTTGTTGAATAAAAAATGTGCTTTATTCAAAAGTATCAATTTGACAGAAAACACCCACGCTGGTTTCCCCATGTTGTTAATTTCTTTTCCCTTTCTGTAACCGACCTTACTTTTTGTGTTTGTTTTTTATTATCAATAAGTGCCTCTTCCAACAATACAATACTTATTTCTATTCATATGATAATTTATTTTCAAGTAAAATTCACGTTAAGTTGATGTCAAATATCCTCTTATCGTAGAATTCTTTCAATGCTAGACAAACACAATGAAAACATCACGAAGTCATTATTATATTTCACCTAGAATATACTTTGGTCATACGTCAATGCGAAAAACTGGTTGAAACATTCAAAGATGAAGTTTTTTCTTTTGTTTAAATGATGTTTGATGATACATGTTGTAAAAAAAAAAAGATTTGGACGTTATGTCGTTCATTGTGTGCATAATTTGTCTCAATGGTTGGAAAATCAAACATATTTCGACTATAAAAAACCCTCAAAGTCGTTCATAGTAAAATGAATAAATACTAAGAATTTTAATTTCGAAATGATGACAACATTTCTGGCTGAGTCTTCTCAGTTGTTGTAATGATATCTATGTTTTGTTGAATAATGAATGAGCTTTAATCTATATATATAGAATATGTATTCGTGTGACAGATAATACCTTCATGAATTTTCTACTGTTGTTCATTTCTTTTCCCCTTTTGTCTGCCCCTGCCGTGATCTGTCTGGATCTAATAACAGATGGTAAGTGTTTGTTTTGTTTTCTTTGTCAATAAGTGCTTTCGCTACCTACACAATACTTGTTTTGTTTCAAATGAGAATATCATTAAAAGTACAATTCCCATTAAAGTGAGGTCATAATTCATCTAAATACACAAGTAATTGCGTGCTACACAAACACAATCTCAACATCACGATATACATTACAAGTTCACATAGAAAACCATAAGGACATATGCAAATTAAGGTAAACAAGTTGAATCATTCTAAGATCCATTTGATTCCCCACTTAAATATTATTCGATGGTTCGTTAATTGAAAAACAGGATAGATTTGGATATTTTGACATGCAAGTGTTGTATGATTTTCTTAATGGCTTAAAAACCTAGGACAGATCGGCATTAACAAAGCTTTTCGGATGTTCATGTTAAAGTGAATAAAGAGTAAGACTAAATTGCTGTATTTATATGCAATACATTATGCATAGTAGAAATAAAATATAAAGAAAGAATATCTCATCATATTTGTTTCTGCATGCTTTTTAGATCTAAAATAGCAATAGAGTGCCTGTCTGGCCTCCAATATTGTTACGTTAATTTGCCTTTCTATAACGACGATGAGTTTGATCTTTGTCCATGTGGAATGACAATATTGTACCTTGTTATCGTTGTGTCCTTTCAGACTTACATGCCGTTGATTTATACCTTAAGCTGTTTGAGGGATACATGGAAATTTATCGACATGTACGCGTGGTTTTTACCGGCAGAGAGGGGGCCGGTAAAACCACGGTATGCAAACGAGTTCAAAAAAAAAATGTCGACCTCAACTTGCGCGAACCAACTGTAGGAGCTGTTTTCTACCCTGATTGGTTCTTGATTGACTGGAAATCTAAAGAATGGAGACAAAATGATGATAAATCAGCTAGGGAAGTAATGGAAATTCGTATGGGTGTAACGATGAAAACAGCACAGGCAACAGGAAAAGCTGGTTTACCGACAGGTATTTAACTGTAAATTTTAGAGATGTTTAACATCATTCTTCACCTTGCATGGTACCTGTGTATGTAAATAACAACATGTATGATTGGGTATCTGATAAACATGGTGGACATGCGACATTATGAATATGCTAAAAAATCGCTTGATGAAATGATATAAGTTAAGAAATGGACTAGTTTGAAAATCTTTTTCTTAAATTCCATTTTACACTTCACAAGGGTTCCGAGACAATGAAGATGATTTATCAATTACGTCATCACAAAAACATACAGCAAATCGGCAGCAATTACAGGAAAGCACTGCAGTTGAACAAGCTTCAAAGTATGCCAACATGGATGATGCGCTCCTATCGTTGTGGGATATGGGTGGGCACTCGTCGTTTCAAGCTTCTCACAATGTCTTCATTTCGTCACACGGCGTATACCTGTTAGTCTTCAGACTGACAGATTTTCTCAAAGACAAACTGGAAACTTGTAAGTTTTATCTGTATTGAATACATTTATATATTTGTTTTCTATTTATATATATCCCAATGATATCATTACCTATCAAGTTCGATTTTCAGTCGAATTATAGCCATTTAGAAATAATCGGTACAAAACAACGTTAGTATAAATTTAAAGTGGTAAATGAAAATATATTTTATCTGAATTAAACGAATCTATGATGTTACAAAATATATTCCGAAGACTTAATTGGTTTCCGTTATTACTTATTGCTTAAAATTACGTTTTCGTGTTGTCAATTATTCACTTGAAGATGATGGCGGGCTATAGTATGTTTTACTATAAATTATTGACTATTGTTGATTAAAGTGAAATTGATACAAGTATTTACATGTTTTCTTATTGACATAAGTCCATACATTAATGAAAGTAAATTCTTCAATTTCAACATCTGAAATGTAAGAGAAATGTTTTGAATTCGAAGCTTACTCATCAATGATTGGCCCAACTAGCCTATTTTGTATTGACTGAATTATATCTGATTTTGATTAAAACCTAAATTGTTGTACAGAAGTCGAATAGCATTGGTCTAATCGTTGATATATGACCGGTTATCAGACATTGGGATATGCCAAAACAGCCAAAATGATTTCGCCGAATTTCCGTTATACTTTGGTCAAAACCATTAAAACAGGGAGAGGGATACATTGATGGTTAACAACCATTTGGTCTTGGTGATGTTTTTATACCCTAAAGTATAATTTAATCAATACCACCCGAAAAGCTTTACATCTCGAAAGTGAAAGTGACAGTTAGCGGCGTAAAGTTTAAACCAACATGAAAGCATTGACATTTACTTTGAAATACTAACGTTTTTTTCTTGATTTTGCAATAAGCATAATATTTCAAAACCGACCTTAAACCATTTGAATGTAAACACATATCAAGGTCGATGTACTATGTAAAAATTAAGTTGTTTTAACAAATGCAAAAATAAATATAATCTGTGCGATACATACCAGGACTAAACAGCGCTGCTAACACTATGGTGCGATTACTGTCAAAGACAACACCGAGAAACATTAATAGATAGTAAGGAAGAAAGGTTTATTGCGACAATCGATAAAAATCTAGAGATACACTGTCAATGCAGTTGTGGGTTTTATATTATCGCAAAAACATCAACACTTGCTTAATGTCACGAAAGAACTTCAGAACTACCGCTTATTTCCGAGACATTCCTAAGATACAAATTTATGATAGTAATTACCTCAGGAAGCCTTCGAATTTTTTCCCAACCCCTGAGCGAGGTTTGATATGAAAACTTTTTGCTACTTCCGGTGCATCACAATGCCAAAAAGCCTTCTGGAAAATCGGGGTCAAATACGATCTATAAAAAACCTTACCCCTACTTATCCGTAGTTTGTTACATATCGCCAGTGAAATATCAGGAATTATCCACTTTACCTTCACTGCCGAAAGTTTGTATCTTCAAATGTGACGATATCACTTGCAGTATTGTCCAATCAGAACGTTACCTTCTATTCACAACGTACATTTTCAATTGCAAGTTCAGATGTTGCGACAGTAGAATACGTGGTTGCTTTGATGTTCCAACATACATTATGCTATTTATATGACTATAAAATGTCTGTGTTAAAGCCTTCCCAGATAATAGCAGCAAACAGCAGAATTGCGTTGAGTGATTCATTCAAAACAACGGTCTGCTTTGATGTCAAGCGTAAGCGTGATGTATATACAACCTGGCGTCAACTATAACGCTGTTAATTCTCACACATGTAGCAATAGTTTCTTTATTTCAATACAAAGGATAGAAAAAATTATTAGTTCTCCCGGTAATTATTATATATATTCCAGTCGTTTAGATATAAATTGAAGTATTCCTCTTTAGATCTACAGACACAAATATAGTGCAAGGGAATAGGCTAAAAGAACAAAAAATAACAAATGTGTATCAGTATGCAATACTACAAAATAGGAGACTGATGTTGACAATTAAACGTGCAGCTTAAAATGTACATTTCCGTGCTGCCTTTGGATAATTATTGAGTGACTATAATATATAATGTGAGGATATTGAGTGCAAATAAAATACTCTGAACGACAAACTTAATGATATTAACAGAAATATTTGGAGAATAAACTAAAGTATTCAGGATCCGTTACTTCAGTAAGCATCTGTAAGGTAGAGACTTTCATCAAATAAAGTGGTGTCCAGTAGCTTTGCTGTATTTTTTGGTCGAATATCGAAGTGAAATATTCAACGAAAAAGAAAAAATGCCGTCGTAGCCACAAGCAAACAACCGTACAACCAAACGTATCAGAGTGAAAAATGCTGAAACATACGTCGAAATAGGTAGAACTTCTATTACTATAACCATGCAATGGATTTCATCGTATAATAAAGAGATGAAGTTAATGTGTCTTTGAGTTAATCTCGAATTGTTTGCGGTACTTTGTACACTAATTGCGACCACATGTTCTACACAGAAGAATACGAGGCTTAAGTTTTAAGACCGACATTTTAAAATTGCTTCAATACTTACAGACAGACAATTATGAACTTTTATATGTTGGTAGTGGCGCGTCTATGATTGCCAATTAATAGTTCCTAAATAGTATTTCTTTCGATGAAATTTCTTTTATCGTCGTACTTTAAATCAACATTAAAATTTTCTGAGTCCAGACAGACTAAAGAAATGGATTCGAATGATTGGCACATTTGCATCGTTTGAATTGAATGCGCCGAAGCTGAAGGAACATGAACCGCCACTGATATTTGTCGGCACATTCCTTGATGAGTTAAAGAAAGCATCTACGGTGAGTGATATAGTTTTTATTGGTCATATTACACATTTCCCTTCATTTGAGCGTCTATCTAATTACAGAACATATTAGTGTCATTTTATGTGTTATTATTACTAACTCAGATTGTAAATATAGTTCATCTGCGTATATATTGCTATTAATTACCATGAGGGTACGCGGTATATATGTAAAATGTCATCACGAGAGGTTGTTACGTAAAGTTGTTCCAATCACTTTCTCTATTGACTGTTATCAATTATTAATTTGGGTTAGTTTATTAATATTAGACATATCATAAATGTTATAACACTATTTAATAAGATGTGTCAGTCCTGCTATGCAACTATATGCTTTTTGTCATGCATCTTAAATATTATTTAAATGCATTAAAGTGATTGTTAAATTTGCCATTCAAATAAACAATATTGACTTGATTTTATTTAACTCTGTATATACATATTGTACGATGACGGAAAATACAGGTCTTTAGAGGAAGAGTTTTAATTCTTTACTATTATTGCAAACAAACTGTAATATTTCGGAATTTAAATTGTTTTACAATATTTGTTTTAAGCATAGTATACATCATTGATTACTCATTTATAATGAAACAGTTGTAATAGCATGTCGCGTTAAAGTATTATCTTTCAATTTTCATCCCAGGACTTCGAGGGACAGGTACAGAAAATACAGTCAAGCATTTCAAAATTTCCCGAACTTTCATCTCACAAGTTTGTCAGGTTCTGTACACTCGATAACAGCCAAGGAACGGAACCAGCCGAGCTGCGATTGCTTGATGATACCAGGTCAGGGTTGCAGAATCCACCACCACCATTAGCTACCGACAATGCTGATGCAAACTTGGAACAATTGCGAGGAACAATCATAGAATTAGCTGAACACCAGGATCAATGGGGCAGAAAACTTCCAACCAGATGGTTAAAGCTTGAGTTGGATTTACTAAAAGCAAGAGAGAGCGGAACCAAGATACTGACATTGGCGGAGGTGATTGAAATGAACAAAAAGTCTATAGCACCACTGGCGGATGATGATGAGATCGTACTGGCCCTTGAGTGAGTATTATATACACGTGTGTTACTTAGTTAAATACTTAACATTTGTTCAATAATGTAAAAAAAAATATAACTTTCAATGACTACAGGGTGTTTTCATCGAAGCATGTTCAGTATTCACTGTTTAACACATAATTAGTTCGTGTCCTTATCAAGTTGGTAGTATGTTTACTACGTGAGAGCTTCCTTTTCTAAAAATATATAGAGAAAAGGGAATCTTATGAGAATTGGATATTGCTCATTACTAAGAATGCTCAGTTGTTGGTGTTTTTGCAATATTCCTGTTTTAATTAGTCAGTCAAGATTTATGTATTCAGCAAATATTATGCTGTCTTGATTTATGTTGAATATACATTTCTCCACGTACTTCACGTGTCTTCAAAAACTAACAATTTTATTACAACTCAAATTGCCATTAAGGGAAATGAACCTCTTGAGTCTTTAAAATTCAAAACCAAAATTGTTCAAACTTGGTTGAAATTACTATAATTGGATACACTTTTAGATTACATGACAAATACAAATCTGATCATTTCCTTGCACCGGAGCGGAACGATTTAAATCTGAAAAATTGGTTACGATTTAAATTGCCATACAGGACAATGAACCTTTTGAGTCTTTAAATTGAAGAACCAAAATTGTTCAAACTTGGTTGAAATTACTATTATGGGAATCAATTTTCGATTACATGACTATTATTGATCATATACATTTGTATAATCAACGATAGCCGGTATTGCAAATAACTATAGTTATAAAAAGGGATTTAGTCCGTGGGATGTAACAGGAAAATGTTTGATATTCCTACAATTTATACAATTGCTGGGTATGAATGTAAATACTCTGTAAACTGATGGACTCATTCTAGAAAAATAACAACAAAGTGGTTAAGATCACTATCCTATCATTTCATTGTACGTTTTTATTATTACAATTTTTTACATTGTGACATACTTAACAAAAAAGGCATAAGGCAATATGTGACATAGAAGAATTATTTGACATGGTATTTCAGATCCGTTGATAGGATGCTAAACCATAGAAATAAAAAAGCATATTTGATGTAATAAAACTTGCTAAGTCTTGATATTACTTCTGTCTAGGTATCTGCATTGCACAAGGTCTGTGATATATTTTCGGGAATTTGATCACGTCATCAACGATCCACAGTGGCTTGCCGATTGCTTCAGCCTCCTGATTACCGACGATCAGTTTCTCCCAAAAGACGATATCGTACTGGCTCGAGAATTAGAGTTGTACAAGACAAAGGGCGAGTTGACTCAGAAATTGATCGATAGCTTTCTTTGCCTGGATCAAAATAAAGCTTTATTGCCCTATAAGTCAATTATCCTGGCTTTGATGGAAAAGTTTGGCCTGCTGGTACGGATGTTGATTTCGGAACCCAATACAGCAGATGTTTATTTCAGTGAGGTGTATACCATTCCCAGCAAACTTCTAGAGCTAGAAAACATCAATGGTATCACCGATGACATCAATGACCTTAAACAAAGGAATCTTGCTGTCTCACAAACATTATGCTTTATATTCCATGATGTCTTTGTACCAGAGGAGCTGTTTCACAGAATCTTTGCTTCAATCATGAGGACTTACAGAACAGCATCACTATCAGCAAGACGCATACAAGACGAACCCGGGACAGACCCGCTGACGACGAAAGATACGACTTGTCTTTACAGAGGATTTGGCTGTTTCGAGGTGAATGATCTTTGCAGGATGATCTTATCAATGCACTGGGAGCGGTCTACAATTGCTGTAACATTGTTCAGTCCCTCAGAATCTAGACTTCCTCCGTACTCTGGGCCACTTGTAAGAAAAACTCTGGAACGGATTTTACAGGAAACTCTTCAAATGAGTAACCAGCAACACTTTCAGTTCACACAAAAACTGCACTGTAACTTCCATCTCAGTCCTTACGACACTCCTGTAGAGCTCCACAGCATCATTCACGCAAAGGGAGGCATGTTTTGTAAAGGAGAGGAATGTCGACAAAAACACCGGCTGAATAAATCGGATCTATCACTTTGGGGCATAACAGAGGTAAAATATGTTTTATGTAGAAAATTAGTAACACATGAAAAGATAGCAACCATCCAATATCAGATCATCATATCAGCAACCCTAACAATAGTTGGGTATGAATAATGTCTCCTAAACCAGAATATTGCATATGTAAGGCATCACATAAGCATCACATACGTACTTGTATATTAATAGAGAAATTAAACTTTAAGCCATTATGTTATGCAGACATATGGTATGATTGTGGACGCCTTCACTAAAGCATAACACATGTATCGGTGCCTGAAGACTGAATGAATATTACATGAAAAGGATTTCATGATATTGACTGATAATTTTCGTCTTGCAGGTAGCCATAAATGTACATGGATTTGTATCCAGTGACGGTAAGTACATTATCAGGTATTTAAATGTATAGTTATACATAGCTTCTGAATTAGTTTTCGTATACACACGTATCTTATGTTAAAATAACAAATCGAATTTAATAGGCAACTTATAATAGACGTAACTGTATCTTTTAATCCGAGAAACACATAAAAATTGAGAAAAAACAGTGTTTTTGTTTTATTTTTGCATCAGCGGCATCCTGTCGTGACAGAAGGCCGACACCCCAGGAACTCGGTCGTCTATCGAACATGGTCGAGGTGTCAAAATGTCAGCAACTCTTCATCGCGCTTGGCCTGTCCCTACCAGATATCTCAAACATTGAGCACGAGGCTAGGGGTCTGACAGCTGTCACTCAGATTACCAGGTTGTTTCTGAATTGGACATACGCATATCCTAATCAAACGTGTCGTCACATCGAAAAGGCCATGTCGGAGGTCGACATGGCTACAGACAATCTCAGCATGACCTTCGAGACTGGTTGGAAATGTGTCACTCTAGGTAATAATGTGTCAAAAAAGTAGAAACGGGGACAGTTGAGGATTCTTTAACTCGATACTATATGTAATAAGTAGATTATTAGACTGAAAGGAAATACGTCGTTATATGTAAATACGAAGAGCCACTATGTACTCGAAAAGGTACAGTGTATGACACCAGGTAATATACAAAGAATGATACACAAAAATGGGTGATATGTCAATTGAGGTAAGACAGACTTGACACTTACTAGTATTCTGTACAATAGGCTTGTTTGTGCGCAAACAGTATCCGTTTGAAAGCTTATTTTGCAGACTTTTCGTAAACATCTATGGTTTGTAAACTTTATCTATTTTAACAACAATTATGAAACATATTTTTTAAACTTAGTATAAACCGTATTTTATTTCGTAAACTTGCAGTTACAATATACAGACGATTTACTTACTACATACATGAGATAGAATCCAGAAACAAGTTATTAAACTTATATCAATCAGTTTCCTTTCAACTTATTTTAATCACTTCTGTTAGCCGGGATGTTATCGCTGGGGTCTAATTGTAGTAAGAAAGCGGAGAAAACCTACATTGTCAGGCAGGTGACCCGATATATGTTCACGTCGATCGAGGAATCGAACCCCGCCTTTGTGAAGGCTAGTGAGCTATCCACTTCGCCAACAGACCATCCAAAACATCTGCTTCCTTTGTCAAGCAAACAATACAAATGAACGTTGTTGTGATCTACATATAGAAAGATAATTCACTAAACATTTGTTGTCAAGTTGATCAACCCTGCTGTCAATTTTTCCATAACTCCATAATAATAAGGCAACTAGGTAAAACGTCAGTTTATTTAAGGATGGTCGCCTTGTTTAAATTGCTAGACGCATTTGTAGTATATCCCAAGGAAACTTTATAGTTTGATTTTTTTTATTGCAGATGGCATAGACTCTATCGAGGAGGGACTCGACAGACAACTAGTCGTCAGCGAAATAAGGGGCCTTATAGACAACATAGGCAAGAATTATTTCAACCTGTTTCTGGAGCTTGGGCTCTCAGTGCCTTCCATAGAGAAGTGTGAAATGGATCACCTCGGTGCTGAACGTAGAGTTGAGGCGCTGATCAAGCTTTGGATCAACACTTTCCGAGACCAGGCAACCGTTATCGGGATTGTGAAGGCAATGAAACTCTGCAGAATGGATTGGCACTCAACCGCAATGGCATACTGTGTTGCAGACGAAGAGGAGACAGAGGAAAGGCCATGCTGGCGTTGTGCTATTCTGTAATGTCGCAGAGAAGCTCGACATGTTAACCCATATGTGTGGGTATTAAAGTGTATATAAATACTGACGCTTGTGAGAGAAACTTAACACATGTGTGTATGAACGTATTTATAAACTGTCTATGATGACATTTTCTGCAGTGTAAAAAATTACACGGAACGGATTCAAGAATGGACTAAAAAGAAATAGTTCAAATGTACATGTACCCAATATTGCTGTATTTTAGGACTTGATATCAATGGTGTACCGTTTGAGACTTGTAAACGATGAAGATCCCTTTGTATAGTTTTAAAAAAAATATCTACGTTCAAACGGCCCTCATTTTACTTTCTAATTTCTTCCCTCAATTGACAAAATACCCTCATATTCGACGTAAAGTCTCTTAAATATTTTTATGATACAATCCTTTACTCATTTGTGTTGCTTATCGAACACAATTAATCCTGATTACATTTTAGTGGTTTTGTAAAGATTGTTTCCTAATTTTTTCTTAAATGTTTTTTCACATTTTTATTAGAAAAAAAACAACAAGAAAATGTGACTGTAGGTTTTGTTTCTAGCAAAATATAGCATAAGATAAAACAAAACCTTACTCAGATGTTTGTTGTGTTTTCTATGGTAACTATGCTGGCTAGAAGCGTAGGTTGACGTCAAGAAGTTGCCGAATGTTCTCACCTAATATACAACTATCAAATGCCTCACAGTTGCATACTTATATCGAACAAACGTGCTATCATTTAAGTAAGTTTCACGTCACAAACTTAACGTTAACTGTGACTAGCGGATATTAGTTCGGGCTTACTGAATATGAAGGTACGCTAGTATACCTTTGTTTCTGTTTATGTATGAAGGTCTTTATAATTATGGATGCTGTTTATTATTGTATAATGAATGACAGATATATTCTTTATTGATTTACACTAGTTTTAAATACCTGTTCCCGACGGGCGACTGTTTACATGCGTGCAGGTAAAAGCACTGTAACCATAACTTTTAACCAAAGTGATATTGTATTGTGCGTATAATCTATACCAATAATATAAATAGACAACAGAAAACACTACCATACGTACTTGATGCTTTACGCAATCATGTTTATTTACACTATCTTGGCTCAGATGACCCTAAGTGTCTGTGAGTGTACTGTGTTTATAATTCCCGTTGTCTGCCGGCCGCTCGTCTTTCAGCTGTCTATATAAACTTGTTTTGCATAAGAACTGACATGCTTAGGGAAATGATGTATTGTTAGCAGCTACTGGTAGGATCATGTGTTGTAAATATTCACCTTATACATACCTTCAATATCAAGAAATTCAACCAACACTCCTGTAAATAAATGGAAGGTTTAGTACTATGGTACTTGGATATGTTATATAGAACATCTAAGCATTTTTTCTATTTTATTATTTTTACTAAGTCAAATGTGCAAAATAGGTGAAAATATTTACAAATAATAATAAATAATTATAGGGGTTTCATGTACCTACTTTTTTGTGAACAGTAGTTGAGACAAATTTGGATTTTCTGATGAGTCCTAGAAGGAGATGTAGTGTAATCAATTCTCGTATATTTCATACTATCAAATGACAAAGGTGCAATCGTTTGTGTGTGTGTTACATTTGTCCTTCGATAACGTCAAACGTCATCCTGTCTTTGATGAAGTACTACCAGGTGTTTCTCATATTTGATTTGTGGGCATTTTTTCAAGTTCACCCGAATCAAAATATGAAAATTTCGAACAGTATCATAAAGATCCAAAATAGCAAAACCTGGTATGGAAGTCTAGAATATTTTTTATCCTTTTTGAATTGTGTTGTGCCATCTTTAAGCGAATACAAGAGGGGGATATAACCGAATAGATACCTAGTATCAGATCCTATAAAATGTCAATATAATTTGACTAAATCAGTATGTATCCATAATTTGGTTTTAATTCACCTATGGTATGTTACTGATAACGGTCCAGTTGAGCGATGCCGGCCCTCCAGGACTCTTAAATAACTTAAATATGAATTAAGATATCATACATTCTGCCTGTTCAACACATTTATGATTTACGAAGTGTAATACACCTTATAACACCACAATGGGAAATATTATTATTGTGTTTTTATGTATGTCGTGTTGTTATTACACTGCATACTGGCCTGTATTTGTGTGTAATAAGACAGTGACTGAAGGCAAGAGCATTGCGATATAGTCCAAACTGTTAGATGTTGAAGTGAGAAGTGGTATATTTTTATGATTATTTGTATAAATTTATTTTGTCAAAATGCTTGATATAACTTTATAATATTAGAACTAGTTCGCGTAGGGAATACCGTGATTCTTTGTGTAAATAAATCGGATAATCTGGGCTTTTGCATAGTTATATGTATATGCCACGCATTGCTGAGAAAAGGAAAAGCAACAACTGAGTTGTAGTCGTACCATATAAAAGATTTTTGAGGGATATCGTGACTTATATGGAATATTTATCATTGATGGAATAACCTTATTAATACTATGACGAGTGATTCACTTTCCTATTCAATAATATATATATAAAGTATATATATGCTGAAATAACATGAATAATATGAATTTGTATGACAGATAAACAAACAATGCTGGTAATTGGGTTAGCATATCTGATTGAATATTTAATCATAGCTAGATCATTTTTATATCTTAGTTTTTCTTTTCTCACGCTTGACAAAACGCATTGATGAATAAAGAAATTCGACGTTTCCAAAGAAATCATATTTTACAGCTGCTATGCTAAAGTAATTGCTTTTGGTGAAAATAAAGTGCTCGACCTAAAAGGATGATGATTTTGATAAATTATCATAAAAAGGCAATAATAGTTACTGTACATATTATTGAGGAATTTGCAGATTTGCAGTTTATCTTCATCTCTGAAAAAAGATATTCCTTTGTCAACATCAGAAGATTATGTTAACCTGTTTTGTCAACAATTCTTTTATCGTATGATACAACAAAATGACGAATTTGCATCATGTTGTAAGTTAAAATGGCTGATGGTAATTTTGTTAGTTTCGTTTTGGTGTAAATATGTTACCACCAACTGAAATGATTAACGAGATGTACATGTAACTTTGTAGATCATCTGTATGTTATATTGTAAATTTGTGTTGATTTTTTAGCAAATAAAATATTATATTGATAATATTCTTTCATTGTCATTATCAGTCGGAAAACAGATAATAATCATGTCAAATACCACTATTTTGGTAATTTTTTCAGATACTACTAGCTTCTTACAATAATTTTTGTATAATATATATTGGTTGACAAAACTGGATAAAACAAATCCACTCTTACAAGCTGTAGAACATTTACAAAACCTGTAACAGTAGCATTTTTTCATAAGTGATAACATAGATTGCTAATTTAAATCCAGGACAAATGCAATTTTGTTTGTAAATTGAAATACTTATAAACATTTCGGATCGCTATCACTTACAGCTTTTTTCTGTTTTCTGGATACACTGTCTATATTGGTATAATCAATCCACCAACCTTTGTTCCAAGGACATACTCCAGCCGCCTTTGTTCTAAGAACATAAACCAGTCATATTTGGTTCAAGTTATTAATCCAGCCACCCCTTTAGTTCCAAGTCCATGGTCCAGTTACCTTTGTTCCAAGTAAATAAACCAGACCCTTTGTTCTCGCTACTAACTCTCGTCATTTCCTTCCTAAACACACAGTCCAGTCACCTGTGTTCCTAGTAAATATTCCAGTTGAACAACTGGATTAACAATGAATACATTAATGAGGTCGTAAAGAGGAACTTTTGGATAAGTGACGGCTGGTTAGCGGGACATCCAGTTGACTTGATAGTGCGACAACATGATTAGTGATGGCTGCAATACCAAGAATTGACTGAAGGACAATCGGAAAAGTCGCAGCTCAATTCATGAGACAATATGATTATTGAAATTATTGATGATGACAGAGGCTGTAGGAGGTGATTAGTGATGATGGAGGGCTCATGTGGGAAATGAGGGTGCTGGCTGTGTAGAAGGAAATAGGTGGTGTATAATCGTTACAGTTCGCTGGTGTATAATGGTAAATTAATTTCAGATGGATGAAGGTGACGTAAGACGGTAAAGGTGGTACACGTGTAGAGGCAGTATATAACATGTAGTAAGTGTAAGATGGTTATTTTGTTTGGGAAAGATATAGTTGGTATTATATGGTATACAGGTGGTATATGAGGGTAGAGGTGCTGTTGATTGACATTGGTGGTAATTATGGATGAAATAGGTGGTAGAATAGTAAACAGTCGTTTTTGAAGTAGGATTGAAAGTATAGTTGGTGTATGAGGGCATATGTGATATAGGATGGTATATATGCTAAAGAAGGGTATAGGTCAAGTAGGAGGGTATACGTGGTATCGACGTATATAGGTTGCGCATGAGAGTATATGTAGTGTATGGGGTTTAAGGTAGGAAAGAGTTAAAAGAAGAGTAGAAAGCCTGGGATTTAGGAGATGTATGTATTATAAGAGAGTATAGGTTGTTTAGGAAGTTATATGTGTATGAGATATGAGGTGGTTATCGAAGAGTAGACTTTATATGTTGTGGTATATGTGTTGTAGGCGGACATAGGTAGTACCGGAAGTATGTTTTTGAAGGATATATGTATTGTATCAGATGCAGATGGTGTAGGAAAGTTAAAGTTGTATGGGAGGGTTTAGTTATGTAGGAGGGTATGCCTGGTGTTTGAGGGTATTAGTGATGTGAAAGTGTCGGCGTAGTAGGAATATGTACAAACTACCAAGCCCCCGGTACACTGTAATTTCTGCAATTTACTGATTTGGTTAACATCAATCTACGAATAGAATGGAATTAATCTGTTGTGGTAGTGATGACTCGTTTTCTAAAGGATTAAAATAAATTACAGTCATTCAGATTTACACACTGAACGTTAGCACAAGAGATGTTAAAAAATCAGAGTCCTTGATACCACACACTGTACAGTGTTCATTATTAGCCGCGAATAAAACAAAGCAATCTTTTTGAAATATTTCGATAGGTTCTAAACGAAATAAAAATGTAGGTTATACAACTTAAACGATACCAACAATCGGACAAAGGTAAGTGGTCATGTATTATTTATGAATGTTTAACAAAATGTATTGCTTGTTTTCAAATAATCTGCTTGGCTGAATTGGTGTTCTTTTTAACTGGTTGTTCGAGTTTCTTAACAGGTGTAGAAATTGGCGGATACCAGCGTATTGGAAACAGGAGTAGAATTTGAATGCTGTGTGTCTTAAATGATACAGAAGATGAATGTCGATTTACGCAGGTCATTTAGCAAACCTTACTATATCCTACACACAAGTATGTATAAGTTGATTAGGTTGTTGTCAACAGAAAATAAAAAGGAAAGAGCAAATTTAGCACCATTTCTAAGAATTGCTAATAGAAGCCGACAAAATGTGTTTGTCAGT